TGAAAGGAAGTGGGTGGTAGGAGAAAAGCACACAGAAACTGTATTGGAGGGGACCTAAACATTCCCTCTAATGCTTTATGTGTGCTTTCCTCCGAGGCGAAGAATCCCCTTCTTCCAACCAGAAGTGGTACTCCCTTCCATATTAAAAAAAATATATATAATTTTATATTTTTTTAATATGGCCTCACGTTAAGAGATGCATCTCACTGACCCTGTCAACATTTTCAAAGGCAGAGTACAAGTGGATACAATTTGGCTGGAGCAGACGAATACATAACAGGAGGTCAGAAGCACTTCACTATGGATCAATATGACCCATTGTAACTTACCAGTCTCCTGTGATCCATGATGTGGCAATATGCGGGATGTTTCGTCTTGGTCTCCAAGACGAAACAGGTCGTGTAAATGGTTGTTAGGTGGCTATTGATAGTTGGCAATTGTTTGATGTGCAGTGCCTCGCCGATGTCCAATATTCTACTGTCATTATATCTGTCGATGATTTTAGTGTGTTTTAGATATCTCTGGTGATGATTTGACTGAGTGCAGAAACCACATGTTTCTGTACATGGAGAAGAGGATAAAACTTAGGCCTAAAAACAGAGTACATGCACGTTCCGTAACCATTAGGGTCAGAATTCCCCGTGCATTTACTCAGCATCTTACGAAACCTCTTCATCTTAATCATGGCAGCTATTTTTTTGTTTTTAATTTTTGTAAGTACTTTCATGAGCTTCAACATAACAGTAATATAAATCAATAATTTATCATTAATTTACAGTGCCTTAATATTAAATTATTAATTTCCCAATAATAATTAGCAGAACATTGTATACAGCAACTTGATAAAGGATGTTGTTTACATCCGAAAATTTGGTTGTTAAAAGTTACACATATATTGAGTCTTCACCTTAACTCGAGGTTATTATTGGCAAAATTAACCCACAATGATAACCTCGGGTTAACATTCAAAGTTCGTCAGCTGTTGAACAAACGTAAACAAAGCCGCCATAATTAAGTTAAGATGTACAGGTTTCGCAGGTGGTTGCATGAAGATTACACACAGAAATCACAATTGTGTGATGCATCAAATGAACAAATCCACAAGGGCGTCTGGGATGCTCTCGGACGTAGGTTCGAATCCTCGTCACGGCCCTTGTGGATTTGTACATAAAGATTACATTATCAATCGACAGAGTTTCAGGAATAAGGAACACACACATCTGCCTCACGATTGCATCATTGTAGTTATTCCATCGTTCAAAGCTACTCACAAGAGCCTACAAATCTATTCAACATATCTACAACAACGTAAATATACATTAGGTGGAATAAAACGATGTATTAATGTGTATTAATACACCGTGTATTAGTGGGTTATACGCAAATGTTGTCCAGTAATGAGCTTATTAACAGCGGACACACCACCAGAGTTTAATAATGAGTTGCAAATGACCGAAATAGAAGATAATAAGATGTATGCTAATGTGTGTTATTTGACCGACAGCATCCGTAGTGGAGACGTCGCCCTCAACGTTACCCCGTCCATCACCTACGTCAGACAGACGCCCCCTCGGTACGTCATAGTCGTCGAGGACACCACCGTGATGAACGTCCAGGTGAGTAACCCAACTGTTTGGCGCCACGTGGCACCTCCCCCCCCCTCTCACCCTAGCCACGTGACACCACAGTAGTGCCCCATCAATTAGGGTGGAATTTAGTGTCGAGAGCTCCGCCGATAAGCCTAACCCGGCTGCGTTCCCGGCACACACACACTACAACTTTTGAGAAATGCGGAATTGTATTTATCTAACTTTTACGTCAAGTACAACGTTACGTTAAAAAAAGATACGTTGTGTGTTTGAGGAGGGTTTCCCCAGCGTCCCCTCCCCCCCCCCCTCCCACTATCCCCGAGACGAAGGGAAGGGAATTTCCCCAACCACTTGGACGGTCGGGGATTGAACGCCGACCTGCATGAAGCGAGACCGTCGCTCTTCCGTCCACCCCAAATGGCTTCCGGGACGAAGAAGGCACAGAAAACATTCCACTTTATAAACGGCTTAAGTTTAACAATTTACATAAGATGACACGAGGCTTAACTAAACAATTAAGACCGCATTAGCACTTGACGATTGCGCAAGCGCAAATGGAAAGGAATTATTATATGATGCGTTTTGAGCCTTACCTGTTGTTTAAGATTCGCTACCTGGGACAAAAAGTTCCAAGTAGCACGGGCTATGGTGAGCCCGTAGTGGACTTGAGAGCCTTACCTGCAAAACTTGATGGTTCGAGTAGCTTGCGGTGGTTTCTAAAAATCTTGGGAGTATTTTTGAAGATCGTTTTCTTTAATTGGATCTGGAGTTTTTTTTAGCTGTAACATGTGATTTTTTCTTCGAATTTTAAATTACTTGTAAGTGACTTCTAATTGTCATCAGTAAAGCTTCTAAATTGCTTTACGAGGTTTGTAAATCAGCTTAAATTGGCTCCCAAGTTAAGCAGTTATCCAAACAATGAAGTGGAATGGATTTTTTTTGTTCTCGTTATGTTATTTGTTCTCGCTGCGTAGGACCACAGGACTGCCTCCGCAGGTCTTACTGCGCAGAAGCCAACCCGTTCTCGCACTTGCGTATAGTCAATATTGGCTTATTTAATAAGTGCATATGTGACATACTAATTGATTGTGAATATTTTAGTTTACCTTGAAAAGCTTCATAGAAAACACCGACCTCACCTAACCTTCTTAGTATGTTAAGATAAGCATCTTATTGCTTCTTAATTACAATTATTACTTAACCTATACCGTTGATATTTTAAGTAATACTTACAATATAGTAAGAAGCACACTTACAGTATAGTGGTTACTCTTTGATCTAATCTTTGTCTAAATTAACCCTGGTAATTTGTCCTAACGAGACCCAGTGTCCGGCTGACACAGACACACGCAAAATATACCTAATTATTTCTAATTAAGTGGGTCGTGTTACCTGCCAGAGATACACCTGTAATGTTATTAATAACTAGCGCTGATGTGTTCTATTATAACAACATTGTGTTTTTCACATTAATAATTAGTTATTCGGTTCGTGAAAGCTATGACATGACATTTTCTGTGCATTTATCGGTACAAAAAGGTCGCAATTTATTGCTTACAAATTTGTGTTGTTAACTATTTATGAATTGTTAGAGTGGCGTTACTGATTGGCGACATGTTGCCAAAACCACTTACAGAATTTTGTTTATTGTTGATGAATCTCTGAATCAAAACTGATCTGTTGGTTGCAGGGAACCACAGCCTGGCGGTCACAAGCCTCACCTCGTGTGTGTTGTTCTTAAGAAAGTTATTAAGTGTTGTAACACTTAAGAGAGTTGTTATTTTGTAAAACAAACGCGGATCCACCATAGCACTTTGCGACTTGAAAGCCTTAAAGACGTTTCTAAGTCTTTACGAAAATAGTGCGGAGAGAAATCAAGCTCTTAACACACTTGTGGCTTTGTCTAGCAACTTTGGATTATTCAGTGGACCTGAATCTCTAATTAGTGGTTACTGCTCCATGCTGTAATTTGCAGGATGGTGGGTTAAAACACTGCTTTGTATCTAGGTGATGTGCAACCCTCTGCAGTCATGCAAAAATCAGTTACAGGGTTTAACTGGCCCCCAGTTTCGGGCTTGGGGGGGTAGAAGAACCCCCAGAAACCCCCTCCAAGTATACTTGAGGTAACCTTATACTCAAGATATAACTGTTTAGTTTCATAGTTATGATTTTGCGGTGACTGTCATGTTTCTTGTCAAATGAAGCAGTTAAAAAAGTTCTGAATTTCGTCGAAGTAAATGTTGCAGAGAGCTGGCTCGCCCACATGTTGCAAAGAGCTAGTCGACCCACATCCCTGGAAACACAAACCGAAACTGTCTCTATTTTCCGCTTGTTACAATTTGTAGTAAAGTTGTCTCATCTTGGCTTAACGTGTTTATGACGTATTAGAACGTTGTTACAACTTGCTATATTGGTTGTTATAACTGGTTAGGTGTTAAAACTTGTTCGAACGTTGTAGCAACGTCGTAGTTTCGGTGTGTGTTTGGCGGGATGTTGCTTTTATGCGTGCTCACAAAATTAATCTCAAGGTTACTATTACTAGTTGCAAAGGAATAATATATCAATGAATCTTTCGACGAATTTATCTTTCTTAAAAGCACCGCTTTTCCGTTCATCTTGCAACAGCTGTGCCAACACCTGTTCGAACACCTGTTCCTGGATCACCTTACACTGAATACTGGCGAAAATACTTTCTAAAATATTCGTTGACGTTCCATTCATTTTTGTTTTATTTGGTGTAATTTCCGCTAGCGAGAGTTATAGAATTGGACACATTTTGCGTCCGAAACCGTCTTTGGTTTGTGATTTGCATGCCGGGTTTTAGGGCCCGAAATTCCAGTGTGGACTTAACAGAGTGTACATGTTAAATTATGTATACTCAGATACGCGCGCGCACAAGCACGCACACATACCTGTAGCTACACTTAGGTAATTACACTTAGGTAATTACACACGCACGCGCACACAACGGATAATAAAGGAGGCGCCAGATGCACTTTACAACCTACTTGCAACATTCTGTTTTACCTGGGAAGAAAGGGGGGAACTGCCAGACAGCTAGAAAGCAGGAAATGTAACACTTACATACAAACAACAAGAGAGACAGGATGTTCTCAAATAAAGCAGTGGCACCGGCAGTCACGTCTCACTCGACCCGAGTCCAATATAGACAGAAATTATTTGAACATCTAGAGAGGATAAATTTGTGTAATAAAACCCGCCACAGACTCTTTGAGGAACATTCTCGGTTACTTTAATATTCTAATGGAGGTTTTACAAGAGAGAGAAGATGGGCTTACTGCATCTTAAACTGCCAGAAATCCTCGACACCACCTGGTAACAAGGTCCTACATTAACCTGATGAAGATACTCAAGAAACGGGATGAACTGGGAGTACCGACTGGAAAAGGGAGTACCAATCAAACTGAAAGCAGAGACTCGTAGTCTGATATCATGTTGTAGGTGATCAGCGATGATGAGAGGTGTTGCCACAGTAAGGCTGTGATCTATTGCGGTCCTACGTCAATGACCTCAATCGGGAAGTAGATTTCCGCATTTCAATGTTCGCGGACGATGCACAGTTGCTTAATCAATTATGGTGGGGAAAAACGACTACAGAATTCGGCCACTAGTCGGTCGAATGGATTATTATATTACACTATTTCTATTTATGTACATAAAAAAATACAAATATGTTTTCATAACTGATGTTGATTGGTACATTATTGAGAAGTGACCAACTCGCCAAACGCGTTGTCAAGCTACACACACACACACACACACACACACACACACAGCCGAGTGCCATACAACGCGGTTCTGAGAACATACACGATATTGTTACTGCCGCACAAGACCACAAGCAGAGTTGTAGATACAACAAATGCAGCGCATTATTTACATTTGAAGAAAACTAGGTATTTCCAGCTTTACTAAGATGTTCTCGACTTTACTAAGACAAATTGAGATTAGGTTACAGTCTCCCGAGCAATATAGACGGCTGATCGAGGAGTAGAGATGAATGACAGCCATTAACGGATAGAATGTATATGTAGAAGTTTCGGAATAACCTTTAACTCAACACATAACAGTGGAGGCAAATTTGACAAATTGAGATGCAGGAAAAAATAAATTCCAGTGCTTGGCAGCAGAGTTGTGGATGGCTGGAACAATTGTCCAAGTCTCCTGTTTGGGACGAAAACGCCTCACCACCCATGGCTTTGGGATCACGTCCCGCCCCTCACGCCCACACATTCCGCCCCTCACGCCCACGCGTCCCGCCCCGTCTCTCAACCCACTCCACCGTCCACCACCCGGCCAGGGGGGGGAGGGGGGTGCTGGCCTCCGCCCTGCCGTCCAAGCACCAACCACCGCGGCGCGAAATGCCGCGTTTTATTGAGGGCGAGACGGCCTGGGAAGATATTACGGGGAGCCTTGCAGCCATTACATCCCAGTTCAGACCACTTGAAACTAATTCAGAGGCACCAGACTGTTGCCCCTTGCTTGTTAAGGCGCCTTAGCTTACTACTTGTGTACTGCGAATGGTAAGACCGCGACAAGGGGATAAATAATCAGTTCGAATGTAGTGGGTGGGGGAGAACAAGGGGAGGGGAAGTAAAGGGGAGGAAGGGGGAGAAGAGGAGAGAAGAGGTGAATGAAGCAGCAGCGACGTCAAGTTGTCAGGTCAGAGTTAACTGCTCCCAAGAGCACATGTATATAATTTCCTTCACTTGTACCGTCGGGCTGGACGGTAGAGCGACGCTTCATGCAAGTCAATCGTCCAAAATGGATGGGCACCATTCCTCGTCCCCCGTTCCATCCCAAATCCCTATCACTTCCAAGTGCGCAGCTCAAGACTGGAGGTCTACCGACCAGGCTGTGAACGCCCAACAATAAGAGGGTCCCAGGATACCAGCGGTGTGGTGCTGGGACCCTCTCTGACTGTGGGTGTTCGCAGCCTGGTCAGTAAAACTCCAGTCGTCCGTTTCAGTGGTCCTGGGTTCGAGGCTTCGATGGTGTAGGTGAAT